TGTGGGCGGTGTCGACCCTCACAAGGCCCTGGACGCTGGTTCTCTTGGGCACGTTCCAGAAGTCCCCACGTCGGTGACTGGCGTATCTGACGGGACAGATTTGCTCACTTGAAAGAAAACCCTGTTTTACAGTCAGAGGAATGCAGATTGAGGTTCCTGTGAGGTTGGAAAGAACAGCCTGCCGATCAGTTATTAATCTATCACCAAGGAGGGGCCGCCTGCTGCCCCGCAGGACACGGGGGCCCCGGCTGAGGTGAGGGTGCTTCCCAAAGGCCCCCCCAGGCAGCCTGGGCTTGTCCTTGAGGTGACCTTGGCCGGCAGCAGGCTATCCTGTAGCCTGTGCTGTAAACCAGGACTCGGAGGTTTGGGATGTGCAGGGGCCTGCCAGGCGGACACGGTCCATCGCAGACGCCTGTCTGGGTCCTGGAGCCGACCTCCCAGTGGGGCCCTGGGACCACACCTCCGCGTTAGTTACCTGGGAACCTGTGGGACTCCGGACCCCGGGCCCACCCCACTCCTCCCGACCCAGAGGCCGTGCAAGCTGTGTTTTCACAGGCTGTCCAGGTGGCCTTTACGCAAAATAAGGGCTGAGAGCCTGCCCTGACCCCTCGGGAGCTCTCAGGGGAGCAGGTGGGCGTTGAGGGAAGAAGACGTCTGGCTGACAGGCCGGGCCATGGAGATGGGCACAGGCGTCGGTCCGAGTGGGCACCGGGGTTTTCGGAGGAGGTGGTGTTTGAGCTGGGCTTTGAAGGCTGAGTAGGAGCTTGCCAGGCCGAGCATTGGCACAGGAGATGCCAGTCGAGGGCACGTGCCTGTGTGGACAGGAAGCCCAGGGCGTGAGCCGGAGGGTGGGCAGGGGTCGGGCCTTAGTGCGGGGACGCTCCTTGGTTATACCTGTCAGGGGGTGGAAGGGTCTGTCCCCTTTTCTTTCTTCTCCTTTTTAAAAAATATTTTTATTAATTTCAGAGAGGAAGGGAGAGGGAGAGGGAGATAGAAACATCAATGACAAGAGAGAATCATGGATCGGCTGCCTCCTGCAGGCCCCACACTGGGGATCCAGCCCACAACCTGGGCCTGAGCCCTGACCAGGAATCGAACTCCTGACCTCCTAGGTCGACTCTCAACCACTGAGCCACACTGGTCTGGCCTCTTTTCTTTTCTTTCTTTCTTTTTTTTTTTTAAGTGGAGATTAGATTTGCTTTTCAGAAGATCACTGGGGTGGTCCATGGTGGACCCATGGGTGATGGGTTAGGGGCGGGCAGAGGGCATTTGCAGAGAGGGTGAAGGTGTGGAGTGGGCCTTGCCCGGCTGTCTTTTGAGGTGGAATCAATGGGGGAAGGGCTGTGGGGCAGGTGGGATGGGAGGCAGCGAGGAAGAGGGGCTCCGGGCGGAGTGGGAGCGTGTTGATTCTAAGCTGACGCCAGCCAGAGGCAGCGGGGAAGGGGGGTTGATTCTAAGCTGACGCCAGCCAGAGGAGCGGGAGGAGGGGCAGCTCCGTAGGCATCCAGGTGCCGTTCCCTCGGGCGGGTCGGGAGGTAGAAATGGGAGCCTGCAAGCAGGGACTTGAGTGGCGCTGGCAGGGAGGAGGGGAGCTGCAGAGGCGGGGGGATCGGAATGTCCAGGAAGGACTCGATGGCCGGAGGAGCTCTGAGCATCCACAGGGGCGCTACCTGGGACCGGCGAGGAGGCTCCAGAGGGCAAAGGGCCTCCGAGAGCCAGTCCTGCTCCTCACGGCGTGCACACGGACCCAGGCAGCCATTGGGGGCTCCTGTGTGCGCCCCGACCTGTGTGCGCCCCGACCGGGCTCAAACCTGCAGCCTCGGTGGATGGGGCGGACTCTCCGACCCCCTGGCTCCTGGCCGGCTCCCGGCGCCTTCTGTCCGTCCTCCTGCCGGCGACGCTCTTGGTGGAGGCTTCCGTGCTGTGTGTGCGGAGCACGGGGTCCCCCTCCCGCACTAAGAACAGGCGTGTTCTCTGTCGAAGCCGCCACGTGCCGCCAGGGTTTTGTTCTCTGCACGCCTGTTCTTGTCCCGGCGAAGCTTTGGGTGTCTGAGCGGGAACACCGGCTCCGTCTGCGGAGCCCCGAGCCAGGGCGCGCCCGGCGTCCCTTCTGACAGGATTGTGGGGACATCAGGGCCTTTATCTCCTTTTTTTTTTTAAATATATTTTATTGATTTTCCACAGAGAGGAAGAGAGAGAGATAGAGAGCTAGAAACATCCATCAGCTGCCTCCTGCACATCTCCCACTGGGGATGTGCCCACAACCCAGGTACATGCCCCTGACCGGAATCGAACCTGGGACCCTTCAGTCCGCAGGCTGACGGCCTCCTGCACGCCCCCTCCTGGGGGTCGAGCTCGAAACCCAGGAATCGAGCCGTGACCTCCTGGCTCGTGGGTCGATGCTCAACCACGGAGCCTGGCAGCCGGGCCCTTTCTCTCTTCCTGTGGGTGAGCTTTGATGCCCACTGGATGGAAGCCGTGCCACGGCTCCGTGTGTGGAATGCGATGCGTGGAGGTGTCCCGTCGGCCCAACTGCCTTCTTCCCTCGCAGTTTAAATCTGTCGTCCGCGCCCCACGGAGCCATTGGACCGGGCGGGTCGCGGGCTTCCCATCTGTCCTCTGTTTGCATTTGGGTGCCATTCAAACACCGCACGGCAGCAGCTTATAGGCAAACATCGTAAAGAGGGACCGCGAACCCGGCTGGCGCTGGTGTGGCCTCGGAGCTACCTGGAGTCGCTCCCTCTCAGCCCTCGTCGAGGCGACATCGCGGGGTACTTGGCGGAACGGTGTGATGGAACCCCTAAAACCCAGATTCTCTGGACCCCATGAGAGTCCCTCGCGCAGCGAGAGCCTGTTTCCCGAGCGGTTGATGCAAACAGCTGATGGCTGGTGACATCGGCGTGATGTCACACCCAGACTGAGGTCACGACCTCTCCCACCCGGACCTGCCTCAGGCTCCTTCTCCTCCCAGTCGGAGCTGTTCAGCCCCCCATCAGCCCCCCAGGAACAATGGCCTGAGGAGATTTCAGGGGGGAGGGGGCGGGGCCCCAGCTCAGGGCAGGCGCTCACTGCACCAGGTCCTCACAGGTGACCCCCCTCATTTTCTGACCGGCTGCCGGGGCGCCCTCCTCATCCTGCTATTTTTATCTTAGTTATTTATTTAATATGTTTTTATTGATTTTAGAGAGGGCGGGAGAGGGAGCGAGAGATGGAAACAGGAGGGACGTGTCCCCTTCGCTTCGTGTTAGAGCCAGCCTCATGGGGGGCGGGGCACCAGGTCCTCACAGGTGACCCCCCTCATTTTCTGACCGGCTGCCGGGGCGCCCTCCTCATCCTGCTATTTTTATCTTAGTTATTTATTTAATATGTTTTTATTGATTTTAGAGAGGGCGGGAGAGGGAGCGAGAGATGGAAACAGGAGGGACGTGTCCCCTTCGCTTCGTGTTAGAGCCAGCCTCATGGGGGGCGGGGGG